TGTGTGTGTGTGTGTGTGTGTGTGTGTGTGTGTGTGTGTGTGTGTGTATTCTCTGTGTAGCCCAGGCTGGCCTCACTTCCCCTTCGTCTCCACCATGCCTGGCATTTCTGTAATTGCTGTGTCATATGAAATGTGCCCCAAGGGGCTGGGGAGATGACCGCATTGATAAGGTGCTTGCCATTCAAGCAATAGAACCCGAGTTCAGATCCCCAGTAACTCTGGTGCAGAGCAGGTAGATCCCTGGAGCTCATTGCCCAGCAAGGCTTTAACCTAATGTTGAGACATCGTGTCTCAAAACCTGGGCACAGAGGTACACACCTTTAATCCCAGCACTCAGGAAGCAAAGGTAGGGAGATCTCTTGTCAGTTTGAGGCCAACCTGGTCTATATAGTAAGCTCCAGGCTAGCCAGAGCTACATAATGAGACCCTTTCTAAAAAAAGAGAGAGAGAGAGAGAGAGAGAGAAAGAAAAGAAAATACAGAAGTAAGGTAGAAAGTGATAGAGGATAAATACCCAGTGTTGACCTCTGTAGGGACATGTGCACACATGAGCACATACCACACACACACACACACACACACACACACACACACACACACACACACACAAATTGTGCTCCAAAGGATGCCCATTTTACTTCACAACTTGTCTTTTTTAAAATGTCTGGCTGCTTGGGCTTAGCCATTTTAAGCCTCATGAATGAATTTTTTTATAGGTACTCAGAATGATGGTACTCAGCCTGAGTTAAAATGAGAATTCTCTTCTCCTGTAGCTTGTGACTGTCATCACGAAGGCTCCCTTTCACTCCAGTGTAAAGATGATGGCCGTTGTGAATGCAGGGAGGGCTTTGTGGGAAATCGCTGTGACCAGTGTGAAGAGAACTATTTCTACAATCGGTCTTGGCCCGGCTGCCAGGAGTGTCCAGCTTGTTACCGCCTGGTAAAGGATAAGGTAAGCAGTAATGCAGTCTCTCACTCACTCTTTCCTTCAGCAGACGTAAGGCAGAAACTCAGTGGACTCTAAGCTTGACTTGGTCTCTCTTCTCAAAGGCATATGTTCTAGTTAGGGAGAAAATGATCAGAACTTCGTACATAAGAGAACTCCTGAGATAAGCGACTGAGAGAATAGGGGTACTGACTATCGCAAACTGTGTAAGGCCTCTGTAAGGAAAGCCCTGTGATGTGAGGTCTGAAGGGTGAGGAGGAGGAATTGGCAAGCAAAGGCCTGGCCCCTAGAAGCTACCTGGATCCTCCCCGGGGAGGGACTTTGTCAGGGGACATGATATAGGACCAAGTTGACAGTAAGTGAAGAGTTTGGGAATCATTCCCAATCCAGTGGGAATGTACAGAAGTCTGATTGTATTTGAAGAGGAGTGTCCTGACTGCCAAATGAAGAATTGTTATTAGGGGCGGGGTTAAGGGGAAGCCCTTGAGTGGACAAGATACATGCATGGTATCAGGACAGGGAAAAAAAGACTCAGGAGTGGGCTTAGCATTGCAGGAGGTGTTGTTTGCTGAGGGTCCTCAGGGAGAACAGATTCTAGAGTTTTGTTGGAGATGCCTGGTAGAAATCTGGAGAACTATCAGTAGACCGTGTGTGCAGGAAGAATGGCACTAGGAGCCTGCCTTGGAGGCCAGAGAAACAGACAAGCCCTGTGCTGTCTGTGTGAGCGCACAGACGTCCCACTGCCTAGCGCTCTGGTCCAGCAGCATGCATGCTGACCTCTCTACCGTCCTTCCTTAGGTTGCTGAGCACCGAGTGAAGCTCCAGGAGTTAGAGAGCCTCATAGCAAACCTTGGCACTGGGGATGAGACGGTGACAGACCAAGCCTTCGAGGACAGACTGAAGGAGGCAGAGAGGGAGGTTACAGACCTCCTCCGTGAGGCGCAGGGTGTCAAAGGTACTCGGGACCAACCTGGGTGGATTGGTGATTTTGTTTCTAATTTGCAATAATACGGTTTATAAAATTCTCAGTTTTGTTGTTTGTTTGTTGTTTTGTTTTGTGTTGTGTTTTTGAGACAGCATGGACTCACTTTGTAGACCAGGCTAGCCTCGAACTCATAGAGCCCCGCCTGCCTCTGCCCTCCAGAGTGCTGGGCTCAAAGGCCTGCGCCACCACTGTCCAATTCATATACTTCCTTTTTAGATCACTTTAAAGTTTTGTTTTTATTCCTCACTCTGACCTAAGCTTTTTTTCCCCTGAGCTTAGGCAAACTCTTTTCTATTAAGTGCCTGTAGTAAGCCTGATGCTGAGCTCAGCACCAGGGATGAGAAGGTGGATAGATTCCACTTGGTGTGGGGCTTTCCATCAGGGGACAGGTGTGCTCCCAGGTGCACTTAATAAATGCTCATTAAAGCTAGCATGCATGGGACAGCAGTCATGGCCACTTTGAGTTTATAAACATATATCCATTTGGAGTTACATGGAGAAGTTTGCCTGTCAAATAAATATGTTGCTTTTTTCTTCATATAAATATCACTAATATATAGAATATTTTTTTAATGATTATTGAAATAGGGAAGGAAGTAATGACATAATCTCATTATGGTAAATTTGTTTGCTTTATTTTTTTCTTTATGTGAGTCCACAGTTTGTTCCACGTGAGACATTTTTAGATATTGAAAAGTGTAAGATGTCAGTGACTTATTTTAATGTTAGATGCTTCTGTGTATTTATTTGGGGTTGCTTGTTTATACCATTTTAAGTGGTAAACACTGCCCAGGAAGAATGGACACCCTTATTTAAGATGTCCATTTCGTCAACCACTTCGGCGTGTAATTTTCCATAATATGCTTTGTTAAAACAACAAATTCACATGTCATTTGCTGTATACACTGAGTCATGAGGTTGGTTATATTCTGACCTGCCAGTTGGGCTAACCAGGATGTGACAGAAAGCTCTGGGCCAGACCACCAGCGTACAGGAGTAGACACAGGGCCAGAGAAGGGCAGCGAGTCTGGGCACCAACATTCCATGCAGGTTGGTATAGCTGAGCTACTGGCAGTGTCCTCTGACCACAGGAACCGCATACTTCCTGTGCTGGCTGGACTCCACCTCAGTTCCTTTAATCACCTGGAAGCTGGCAGCACTGTGGGTTGTTGGCTTCTCCTAGACCTGGGAGCTTCTCGGAGGCTGGGGTTAAATTAACTTTCCGGGGTTCCTCAGTAGTGGACTTCCCAGCTGAGCTTTTCTGCTTAAGTTCAGACTAGCCAAGAATGAAAATGCCTTTGTAATGATTTGGCTTTTGAGACTGTAAACACTCACTTTGTAGTTGAAATGTGCTTGTTCTGCAGACTTGAAAGATTACATGGTATGGTTTAAGGCTAACAGGTCGACACTGGGAATTGGGGGATGGTTGACGTGAGCCTACCAGTGAGTGTCTCTGTTGCCTTTTCTGGTGCCACTCTAGCGAGCAATGAGGAGTGGCAGCTGTGGTCCCGAGAGTCTGAAGATAGAGACTGCGCTAACAGCATTGGCTGATCTAGTTTGTATTTTAACAGTTTCTTAAAACTCTCCAGCTTATCAAAGAATTGTGCCAGGTGTCCTCTAAGCAGGGTGCAATATGCAGTCAGGCATGGGTTGTGCAGGGCAGCAGTGTGCATGTGTGTGTCATGGTCTTACTGTCGAGTTGCTATTTTCCAAACTCGTGTTTATTTCATTTGATCTTAACTTGGAACTCTCTCTCTTGAACTCTTTTTTTTTTTTTTTGGATTTTCAAGACAGGGTTTCTCTGTGTAGCCTCGGCTGTTCTGGACTTGCTTTGTGGACCAGGCTGGCCTTAACTCACAGAGATCTGCCTGCCTCTGACTCCCTGAATGCTGGGATTACAGGCATGTGCCACCACGCCTGCCTGGAACTCTCATATTTTTACATTCATAAGAAAATTTAGATTCCAATATAGTATCATGCTGAAATTAAAACTGCTCAGTTTTTAAAAATTAAGCTCATTTTAAGCAAAAATTTCAACATAAAAATTACACATACATTCATAGGATAATAATGTTTTGATATGTGTGCGTATATGCATTGCATGAAGTTTAAATCAGGATAACCATATTTAGCTCCTCAAACATTGACTATTTGTTTATGCTGAGAACTTTCGAAACCCTGTCTTCTAACGTTCTTAAGTGAATAGTGCTGACTGTTGAAGTTACCACTCACTGTTCAGTAGCACGTCAGAACTTCTCAGACTCGTCTGACTGGCCATTCACCTTCCTTCCACATCCGCTGCTTCTGCTGCTGTGATCATCTGTTCCCTTGATACCTGCTTTTTAAAACTTCCACGGCTGGGGGAGGTCATGTGGCATTTTTTGCTCTATGTGGCTTATGTCACTTGCTCATCTATGATGTAGTTGCAGATAATAGGATTTTGTTTCTTTTTGTGATTGAACAGTATCTCCTTGTGTTTCTACACCGTCTTGTTATTCATTGACTGGTAGACCGGTTGGTTGGTTTTACTGTTTGTCCATTGAGAATGGTGTCTCCAAGATGGGATTTCGAGTGTCTTTTTCTCATGTGCTCCGACTTCTCCTTTGAATATGTCTGTAGGGTTAGGGTTACTGGATCATGTTGTTCTAGTGTTTCGTGTTTTCATGATGACTGCACTAACTCATATCTACCAGCAGTGTGCGGAATGTGCTTTTCTCCCTGTTCTCACCAGTACTCGCTCTGTTCAGTCTTTCTGACAGTAGCCATGCTGACTGAGGTCAGGTGGTCTCTCAGTGAGCTTTTGACTTGAATTTCCTTGGTGATTGATGCTGTTAAGACATTTTTTATATGTCTGTTTGCCATTTGTGTGTCTTCTTTTGAGAAGTGTCTGTTTATGTGTGTTGCCCATTAGCTCTTTGTTGCCCTTTTGATAATGAGCTTTAAAGTTCTTAAGTATTGCCAGATGCACGGTTTGTTCTTACTTTCTCCCAGTCTGTGGTTGTCTGTGTAGACTCTCGATGGGTCCCCTTGCTCTGTAGCTCTTCAGTTTGATGTAATTGCACTTGTCTAGTTTTGCTTTTATTTCCTGTGTTTTTGGGGTCTTATCCAAAAAAAACCCTTGCCAATTCCAGTGTCCTAAAGAATTTTTTGTTTTCTTTTAGTAATTTCATTATTTCAGGCCTTCTGTTCAAGAGCTTAGTCTGTTTGAGTTGGCCTTTCATAGGTGGTAGGGTTAAAGGTACTGCTTCATCTCTGCTTCATCCCTTTGCTTTCACAGTCCTATCTATGGAACTTACTACCCTTTTGTTGGTGTGTGTTTTTAGCAAGTCCTTTGAAAGCTGGCTGGCTGAAGATGTGTGTGATTCTTTCTAGACTCCTTTCTGTTCCAAGAACTGGTCAATTTTGAATAGAACTCGGAGTTTTGTATATCAAAACCTCATGACATGTGAGAATTTAATACTGGCAGGCTTTGTGTTTGCACAGGTTTATATTTATCATTTGATTTATTAGGACCCATGCATGAGGTTTAAGTTGCATGGAATAGTAAAGTTCAATTTGAAAAACTTTGTGGAAGCAGGAATCCAACTGAAAATTACATACATTTGCTGGGACAGAGGTAGAGTGGGGGAGGAGCAAAATGTATACTTACTTAAAATTCAACTTCAGCATCTAATGATGGGGTGTGTTTGGTTGGTTGGTTGTTGGTATAGTTTTGTTTTGTTTGGTTTGGTGTGGTGTGATTTGGTTTGGTTTTGTATGGTTTGGTTTGGTTCACTTCAGGGTTTTCCTTTGTGTGTTTACCTGGCCTGGAGCTCGCACAGAGACCGGATTGGCCTGGAAGACACAGCGCCACCTGCCTCAGCCTCCTGAGTGCTAGGACTAAAGACATGCACCATAACTGGCATCTGCTTCAAATGTCCTTTTTAACAGTTATGTGTTGGGCATTTAGGACTGACGGCACTTTAACAGTGTGTAGCTGTGGCTAAATCTGGCAGGTGTCACAGTATAAAGATCAGTTTTACTTTTCTTCATCAAACATCTGCATGCTTGACCACCTCTGCTCTGCCAACTGTTGTGTAAGAGTGTGGACCCAGTGATGAGTGGGAAAGGGACTCGGGAGTCGCCTGGGATAGACAGTGCAGGGAGGCTCGCTGCAGCAAAAGCATGATGGGCACCACAGAGACCTCACCTCTGCTGCGTGTTAAGAGAAATGTATCTTAAAGGTACACCCCAGCTTCACACAGATGGTGCACCCCTCAGATAATAGACAGACTGTGTGTTTGCAATGCTTTTTTCAGACGTAGATCAAAACTTGATGGATCGCCTTCAGAGAGTGAACAGCAGTCTGCATAGCCAAATCAACCGATTGCAGAATATCCGGAATTCCATCGAAGAGACTGGGGTCCTGGCTGAGCAAGCACGGACCCGAGTGGAGAGCACGGAGCAGCTGATTGAGATTGCCTCCAGGGAGCTCGAGAAAGCAAAAATGGCCGCTGCCAATGTGGTGAGTGACTCCGAGGGTCCGGTGGGCTGGGTGGGTCTCTGGGTAATTTGTAGCAGATCTGTCGGTGGAGTAAAAAGTGTCCTACCTGGCCCTCCAGAGCAGGAGGGCCATGCTGCTCAGAGCCATTAGAGCGGCTGCTTTTTTCCTCGCTGTGGCAGATTGAACAGAAATAGCTCACAGTCCCTCAGTATGGGCAAAGCACTGGGGCAGCTTTTGGTAGTGGCAGAAGAGTGTGGTGGCTTCTCATATAGAAGCCAGATCTAAAAGCTAAGGATGGGACAGAAGCAGAGCAGGCTATTCCTAAAGGCCTATCCCAGTGACCCACCTCCTAAGGGTCCATAGCCTCCCCTAAATGCCAGCCAGGGACCAGGTGTTCAGATACAGGAGCCTCAGGGGGTCACTTCAAGTCCAGACTTCAACAATTGTCACAAAACAGAAGGAACTGGATGAAAACAGAGGGTTATCTAGGTTCTTTCTCTGAGTTGCCTCTTCTGTAGTACTCAAAATATATATAATTTCCAACCAAAGGTACCAGTCAGAAGAGCTCTCAAAATAAGAAATAAGAAGAAACATTATTTTGCAAGACTTTAACAAAAATTTAGTGTTAATACTTGCTTTATGGAATTTAAACAGTTCAGTCTTTTGAGACTAAGTGTTTTATTTCCTCTTCAGTCAATCACCCAGCCAGAGTCTACAGGCGAACCAAACAACATGACCCTCTTGGCAGAAGAAGCCCGAAGGCTTGCAGAGCGGTAAGCTGTGGCGTTCTACATGCTTCATGCTTCATGCTTCGGGCTTCGGGCTTCAGGCTTCGGGCTTTGGGCTTCGGGCTTTAGACTTCAGGCTTCATGGTTCAGGCATAGCGCCCAGTGCATGCTGCCCTGTCCCCTCCCATAGGAACTTTCCATTGTAAGCTTTACCCTCTCTGAAATGGTAGCAGCTGCACATACCCTTTTTTTTTTTCCCACTTTGAAACTGGAATATTTACTTTAAGTATTAGAATATAATAGTTTAGAAAAAAATGACATTTACATATTTCTCAATTTTTCTAGATTTTTTTAACTTTAAAGTCTTCAAAATTGTAGATTTCTAAGAAACTCAACAGAAATTATTAATTTAAAATTTTACATTAGTTTTTTCAACAAATATTTAATTTTCAGGTCTCAATAGAAAACACTTACTAACTCATCACACATTTTAATTAAGCCAAAGAACATTGACCATTTCATTCCTGATTTGTTTGCTTGTTTACACTTTTATTGTAAAACAACTTATTATCTTATAATTAAATATTATGATAACTAATTATAAGATAACTTATTTGCAAGGCTGTAATTTGCAGAAGGAATCAACCTTTTAACACTTAATGGTAGAATGAGGCATCGGTGAGGCATCGTCTGTGTGTGAAGCCGAGGTAGAGAACCCTCGGTAGTGTGGACATACCAGGAAGCCTTGTGCAAATGTCAGACTGTAGACACTGTTCAGAGCAGTGGTGCTGACCTTAGCAGGCTTCTTTCTATTCTGGTAAGTGTGAACCTGGGAGCCATGTCATCAGCTTTGTAGAACAGACATGGTTTCACAGCTGGATTCTCATATTAAAGGAAGATAGCTGAAAACATGGAGCCTCCCAAGAAAGCTAGGTCTTGACCCTGGCAGATTTACTGATCTGGTGGGCTTCATGCAAGGACTTAGGAAGAAAGTTTCTTATGACAAAGAGAATGGCCACATGCTGGGTGCCATAGTTCAACGTGAGAAGTTGGAAGTGGAAAATCGTTCAGCATTGTTAGCCAGCTAGGATGCATTGTTACCCAGCTAAGAGCCAGGTGCTGGGGTGAAAGCCTCGTAGCTCAGAGAGGCAGAGAAAGCACCCAGCTGACCTTCCTCCTCAGCAGACATCCCAGAAGGAATACCTTTCTCTCAACCTGTCTCAAACAACCTCCTTTAAACTGGATGTCCCTCTCTTCTCTACCTCTTTGTCTCCGTGTTCATGTTCTTGCCTTCCTGTTCTTCTCTATGGTTTTTTCCTTAACCATATGTTCACTTCTTGTCAACTGGTTGCTTGCTCTGCCTCTTGCCTTGTGGTTGACTTTATTTAATTCTGTTTACAATATTCAAGCAGAAAACTCTTGGACTGTAGGTGTGTACTAGGGCTGAGCCATACCCCAACTAGAAACAGGTTGGTTTTTTTTTTTTCCCAGTAAGTAACACAATCTCTAGGTTCACAGTGTGATCAAAAATCTTGCAACAGTAACTGTGTAGAGATTGTGTGGTAACTGTATAGAGTATGCAGTGACCGCAGAGAGACTGCGTGGAGACTGTGCAGTGACCGCGTGACCGCGCATGCCAGCAGACTATATGATAAAGATTAGGCCCGGGGTCTGTGTTCCGGACTAGATACGAAGTTTCTGATTAGCACAGTCTGACCGGTAAATTGCTAACATTCTAAATAAAGTTAGTTGCCTGCTTCCCTCTCTCCCCTCACTGCTCTCTGCATCTCACTTTGTAACTAACCTGGCCTGAAACTCCTGATCCTCCTGCCTCAGTGCTAGGGTTATGGGCAGGAGCTACCACAACACACTCAACTAAAAATCAGTTTTCTAAGAAAACACAGATTTGTCCCTGTAGAGTTTTGTGCCACTGACTTTGAAACTCCAAATGAGACTTTCCAGTATTCCTAGATCTCTGCCCATATTAGTATATTTAAAATAACAAAGTAAACATTACCTAAATCTTACTTCTTTCCCTGTTAAATGTCTCTTTCATGGTTTATTTTTAATTTTCCTCCTACACATACAGCCATAAACAGGAAGCTGATGACATTGTTCGAGTGGCAAAGACAGCCAATGAGACTTCCACTGAGGCATATAATCTGCTTTTGAGGACCCTGGCAGGAGAAAATCAAACTGCATTGGAGATTGAAGAGCTTAATAGGAAGTGAGTGTATTTGGAGGTGCTGTCCCAGTGATATTAACTAGATTTTTTTTTTTTTTTTTTTTTTTTGGTTAATATTAAGATGTTAAAACAAAAAGCCCAGCTGTTTGTTTTTTTTAAATGATTACATCATTTGTTCCTTAGGTATGAACAAGCAAAGAACATCTCTCAGGATCTGGAGAAGCAGGCTGCCAGAGTCCACGAGGAAGCCAAGCGAGCAGGTGACAAAGCTGTAGAGATCTATGCCAGCGTGGCCCAGCTCAGCCCTGTGGACTCGGAGGCGCTGGAGGTATGTGTGCAAGGAAGGGCTCTGGTCACGGTGACCCCATCACATCCCTGTCCCTCTAGTGTGGGTAAGAGCCATTTTGACTGCCCTGCTTCTCCCTAGACCTACATGTGGCTCCCTGGAAAGGTGAGTTCTGTTCTAATTATGCAAATAGAAGTTAGTGAATGAAAACACTAGAGATGTGAAGGAGCAAAGATTACTTTGGTGATATGAATACTTCCATGAAAACCGAAACTGTGACATAGTTGAGTTACTTGAAACACAATATGGCCAGAGCCTTCCTCCTGGGCGTTGTGTAATGGGTATCTAGAGAACAAGAACTATACCAGCATCCTCGGCAGGTAGGATATTTGGGAGGTGGTAGTGTTTCATTTTATTTGAACCCTAGTTCCTCAAAGCCTCCTTATAAATGTTTTTAATACTAAACTTGAAATTTACTGTCTTACTTCCTACATCTGAGGTGTCAACTGGTATAGACATAAACGTTAGGTTTAGGTCTTTTCAGACACCTAATGCTGTCTGAGTCCATAAGTAGGAAATATGGAAATGGCCATGGCTGATATGGTGGCAGTCAGGGGCAGAGCTGAGGGGGCTGGGGGAAGAAGGTAGGGGAGAGTTACTTGAAAGGGACCCTGGGGGGTTATTTCTGCATCTTGACCGAGGTGTGGGCTGACTAAAGCTATGAAAAACTCATCCAAGTACAAAAAACACTGAGATCATTCAAGTATACTTGTTTTTTCTTTTAAAAAAAAAAGCCCATAAACTTTTAACCTCTGCTGTCTTTTAAAGTTGTCAATCAAGCGTTAAGTCTTATGGCGTTCCTACACTGCCTGTCATTCACTGTCGTCATTTCATTTAAACGCCTTATGTGTTTGTCACAGAATGAAGCAAATAAAATCAAGAAAGAAGCTGCAGATCTGGACCGTCTGATTGACCAGAAGCTAAAGGACTACGAGGACCTTAGGGAAGACATGAGGGGGAAGGAACATGAAGTAAAGAACCTTCTCGAGAAGGGAAAAGCCGAACAGCAGGTTAGTGAGATTTGCTGCTGGCTCCATTTCCTGAGGCAGCACCTGAACAGCTCAGGTGTGAGCTGTGGCTGTTGGAGGCTTGTCTGCTTTTGGCAAGGCTGACCCAGGAAGGTTTGCCCTCTGACCTGCCATGTATTTGCAGACCGCCGACCAACTCCTAGCCCGGGCTGACGCTGCCAAGGCTCTTGCTGAAGAAGCTGCTAAAAGGGGACGGAATACCTTACAAGAAGCCAATGACATTCTCAGCAACCTGAAAGGTATGAGAGGGTCAGGAAGCAGCAGCTCTCCTGCCTGTCCTCTGCCAAGGTGCTCCCAGATTTACTTTTCCATTTTGCTTTTAGCATGATTCTCTGTGAACAAAACAGTGTGGCAAATCCCATATGCTGACTACTTAGATCAGTGGTGAACCCTGATCTTTTACCACATTTACCTCATCCTCCGTACTCTACTTGTGTGTGTGCGTGTGTATGTGGGTATGTGTATGTGTGGGTAGGTGCACGTGTGTGTAGACCTGAAATTGCCTTGATGGCTCTTCACCAAACCTGACGTGCATGTATTTGAAAGGAAAATCAGCATGCCTCTGTCTTTACTCTGCTTGTGCCTGTGCCTCTGTCACTTTGCTCCCACATTCTTCAGCCTGAAAACCAAAAACCTCGAGCGGGAGAGTGGCTCATACCCGACTACCTCAGGCCCCGCAGTCGGCCTGCTTAGCCGACTGTCAGTGATACATGGAGATTATCTTTGGTTTTTCTCTGCCTCTGGCTCTTTGTTTTGAAGAAACATGCCCGATTCACTGAGGGGCTGATTGGTGTCTGGTAACAACAATCACAGGTTCTATAAATGAGGAGTCTCTGCAGGCATAATAGCTGCCAAGTGTGAGCTTCGACGTCAGCAGGTCTGTCTGAATCCCCACTCCACAAATCAGGCTCCTCAGTCGCTGGTTTTCTCATGTGTGAGAAGTGTGCCGTGCTGTCCGTCCCTGACACAGCTGACACTGAAGACACTGGCCAAAGCAGAGGCGTCCTCTCGGCTCTGCTTGGAAATGGCTTTTCAAGTTGAGTCTCCTCGGAAATAGATGTGCGTTCATGTGACACGAGTCCTGGAAAACCTGCACCCGGCTGTGTTTTCTTTCCTCTTCTGAGATTTCGACTCGACTTGTCATTTTTTTAACACCGATTTTTTTTTTAATCGATTATAAGAAAAAAAAAATACAATTGCAGTTTTGTGGAAGGTTCCCCTTTTTCTTCCTGGCAGCTTGATTCAGATGCATGTCTTGAACTCCTTTTAGATTTTGACAGACGCGTGAACGATAACAAGACAGCAGCAGAGGAAGCTCTGCGGAGAATTCCCGCCATCAACCGGACCATCGCCGAAGCCAATGAGAAGACGAGGGAGGCACAGCTGGCGCTGGGCAATGCGGCAGCGGACGCCACGGAGGCCAAGAACAAAGCGCACGAGGCGGAGAGGATCGCCAGTGCCGTGCAGAAGGTGAGCGCCCCTCTGCTCCAGACGCTGCTCCCTCGTCTCCGAACTGTCCGTTTCTTTTCTCTCCAGTACACATGAGACTATGTAAGTACACCGAAGAAAGAGAAGCAGTGGAAGGACTTTCTGCTGTCTCAGTGTGGGGTCTGAGTTGTGGGGAGGGCGATCTCAGAGAACTTGAGTCCCTGCCCACAAAAGGTCAGACTTCTGCTGAGAAGCCCTACTCCAAACCCTTCCTAGACTACCAAGGCCACCTCTGCGCAGGCCCCCTTACTGTAAAGAGGGATTGCTTCGGGCTGCCTCTTCTTATTTAAAGATTCTCTTATTTATCGTAAGGAAAGATGAGAGCATATTTTAAAATCAAGTGTCTGAGAAGCGCAGAAAATTTTAATTTCTTTAAAAGGGTTGGTTTTCAGATGGGTTCTGTTTCGTAAAGTGCTCATATTTCAGGATGTAGTCTTTTGTACACAATGCTAAACTCATAAGAATAATCAGGCAGGCTTTGAATTTAACACATATCCAAGTGAAAGAGTATTAACCAATACAATGTGGTGGAAAGTGCACAAATTAATTTTTATTTGTTCTCTGTGTGTGACCTCAGCTAGACATGGTTATTATAGAGGAGGAAATTTCAAAGAGAGCACAAGTGAAAGTGCTGTATAAAATGCCGTCGTGTTTGACAATGTTTTTGTTTGTTTGGTTGGTTTTTGTGATGAGAACCCAGTAAATGGTGAGAGGTGGGTCGTGGTAGGTCGGGTGATTGTGATGTTCTTTCTGGACTGTACTTTCAGCCACGTTAACAGCTGTTGGGGAGGGGGACCATGCTCTGGGAAAGGTGTCCGGCGTCTTTGCTTTGCTCCTGTCAGCACTTGCTTCTTCTGTGCCTAGAATGCCACCAGCACCAAGGCGGATGCCGAGAGGACCTTCGCGGAAGTCACAGATCTGGATAATGAGGTGAATGGTATGCTGAGGCAACTAGAGGAAGCCGAGAATGAGCTGAAGAGGAAACAAGACGATGCTGACCAGGACATGATGATGGCGGGGATGGTAAGAGCTCCCCCTGTTGTTCGGGGGCAGAGTAGAGGGATACTCACCAGAAGAGACCCCCCACAAGTGCCCTTTTTCTGTGAACATCAGTTTACATTGCGTCTTCTGGTCAAGGACTGGGTCTGTAGCTTGCTGACGTAGAAGACGACGAATTTGGCTCATCTGCCAGGTATTGATGTTGTGCAACTGCCTTGTCCCCAAAGCTTCTCCGTTAGAAGCAAAACATTTTTCTGCAGCTGGGGTTTTAGAAAACTTATTTTGTGTGTGTGTGTGTGTGTGTGTGTGTGTGTGTGTGTGTGTGTGTGTTTAATGTAAAGAGCAATTTCTTATACAAGACGTTTGTGAGGCATTCTGCACTGAAGCATGCCATCCTTACACGTACTTTCATTTTGCACCTTCTGTGGTGACATGCATACGTCACGCCACTTCTAAGAGCAGATTTGTGACTTTATGGTACTAGGGAGCATGGCATTGGTTTTGTTTGATTGCTGTTTCAGTTTGCACTAGAAAGAATGTACTAGCGTGGTCATGTTGCACTCACAGGAACAGTGTATAGCAGGCTGTTTACTCACACACTTGCAGTGTTGGGAAGAAGCCTATTTTTCTCAAGCGTCCCCCAAACAGGGCCTCTTGCTGTGGGTCACGTTTACTTTGGGAGAACTGTAAGGTCTGGGGAAGTGATACCAATTAAGTTTTGTACACCTCTCTGTGCAAACAGCTAAGGGGTTTTGTTGTTGATGATGACGTTTTGTTTTTTGAGGCAGGATGATCTTACTGTGTAGCTTTGACTGACCTGGAACTCTCTAGGTAGACTAGGATGGCCTTGAACATACAAATCCTCCTGTCTCAGCTTTCCGAGTGCTGGGATTAAAGGTGAGCGTCACTGTGCCCGGCTGAGGTTTTATGCTTTGAGTTGGACCGTTCTGTGATATTTTTTAAATGCAAAGTGAGGCTCAAGTGGAATTACTGTGAAGCAGAAGTCGGTATTTGTCTTATATGCAGAGAATCTCTGGACTTCATTTTTAAATTACATTTATTGTTTTCGTGTGTGTGCATGTATATGTGCTCATGTGGAGGCCTCAGGACAGCTTACGGGAGTTGGTTCTTTCCTTCCACCATGTAGATTTGGGGACTGGAACTCAGCTTATCAAACTTAGTGGCTACAGAAGTGGATTTCATGCTGATAGGAGCACTGTATTTAAAGCATGTTGGAAAAAGTAAAGGATACATACTTAATGAGTCTCAAAAAGGGATGTGGGCTTAATTCGAAGAGTGAAAGGAAACCCCCCTTTTGTTATTTTGGTCAGGAACTTTTTGGGAGCAGTGAGCTATCCCTCATATACTATCTCTTTTTTACTTACATCAGTTTTGAAAGTCCAACATTCAGCTAGTGTTGCCCGAATCTAACATTTTCTTCAACCAGAAGGGTTGTGGTTCTTTCTGGAAGACGCCTAAGGCCACAGGTTAAACAGCAGAGTCCTGCGTCCCAGTCCCAGAAACTCATAGAAAGCCTGTGCGTGCTCTGAGAACAGCTGCGACTTGGACTGAATTTGTTGTTGTTGTTGTTGTTATTGTTTCTTAAATTTTACATTGTTTTGATATCCAAATGTTTGATTTGACTTGACCCCAAAACTAAGAAAAATAATTTTGGGTAGGGAGTGCAGAGCCAGTCATTTGTGTCCTGGCTGGATTTGTTGGTGAAACATCTGCTTTCTGAGACGTAGATAAGTTTCCTTTTCCACCACTGCTTCCTGTGACTCACGCTCTGTGTGTTTGTTCAGGTTTCATGGAACTTTCCCAAATATGTTTACCTTTGATTGACTTTGAAAATATCCATCAGAGTGTGTGTGTGTGTGTGTGTGTGTGTGTGTGTGTGTATGTGTGTATGTATGTGTGTGTGTTTTAGGTTGGCAGGGAATTTTCAGAAAAGCCTCACTTTGCTTATGAAAACTAAGAATAGGACAGCTCTAATAATCAGGGCCCTGAGAGTTTCCACGTTCTAGAATAATAGTTCCTATACTCAACCCATACTTAAAAAATAACCTGTTCCTACTTACTGCATTTTATCATGTGTTTGCCCCCCAGGTATTCTTGATCGGGGGAGGTGAGAAAATAAGATAGTTTTGATTTTTCTGACTGCATGAAGGGCGGCCAGGCATGGAGTGCATACCAATGTATAGCCCCGGTATCCCGGAGGCCGACACAGGAGGATCTTGTGTTTTAGACCAGCTTAGGTTACATAGTAAGACTGTCTCAACAAAAACAAAATGAAACAAAAGAGCATAGACTGTTCTATGCAATAAAAATAACATCCTCTACCTGAAGATAACACCCCAAAACCTGCAGTGAGAGAGACTGAGTCATCACTTAGAACAGGAGAACACAACTGAAAATAGCTCTGCTGGCTAGCCGGGGGAAGATGTTTAGAGAAGATGAAAACATAGAGTCAGAAGCATTTCTGTTGTTTATCCTCTTCCCCTGCAGGCTTCACAGGCTGCTCAGGAAGCTGAACTCAATGCCAGAAAAGCCAAAAACTCTGTCAGCAGCCTCCTCAGCCAACTGACTGACCTTCTCGAGCAGCTGGGTAAGTAATAGAGGAGTTGCTCCAGCCGCTCTCCTCAGGGTCTGCCTCCACTGACAGAGTCCGATTCATGTGAAGTTCTCCGAGAGCATTCGTTAACCTATTGGTGTTAATGTCTCATTTAGCTCTTATTTATTTAAAGATGCCTTGGACACTGTCTTGCTTGGCTGGATCTTCTAAGGGCACTTTGCATCATCACAACATTGATAGGCTGTCAACTCTAGAGTGAAAGGAATGGGGACTTCACCAAGTTGAAGCACTTTAGGTGCCTTCGCCGGACTCGGTCCTGAATAGACCATCATGGTCTTCACACTTGAAGATGAGCTGCCAGCTAGGGGTGTCTCTTATGCTCAGAGTTCATCATGCAATCAAGCAGCCATCTCCCCTTGGTTCCTCCTGCTAGTGGGGTTTCTTCTGAGGGATTTGAAAAGAAAGGCTCAGTGCTAAAATAAAAGATTGGTTGAGACTGACCGTGTTCCATTGACCAGAGTTCTCTCCACTTGCCAACCAAAGAACAATTTGATAATGTGAAAACTCTTACACCAAAAGAAGGAAGAACTTTGTTTCACTTTACTTTGTTTTCAAGAAAATATAAGCACACTGAACTCTCCTTTTAGTCCAGTTTGTTAGAGAAAAGATTTTTTTTAGGACGCAAGTCCTTTGTCACCAGACTCTGTTATGAAGAAGTCATATAGCCGTTGAAGACTGGGATTTTTTTTAATGGGTTTGTTTTTCTTAAAGGGGAGATGAATCATATTTTATCTGTCTTGAAGACCAATAATAATAAATTATGTGCCAACAGATGAGCCTAGAATGAAAGCAAGCTAAAGGGGGTGGGGAGCTTACATCCTGCTCTATCACTAGGTTGTACAGCAGACAAATAATTGTTGACCATCTGAGAGTTGGTGGGGCAAACTGGTTTCAGGAAACTGCTTCTCTTTCTGTATGATTTTATTTGCAACGGAGCATCTTCTTTTTAAAAAAAAAAAAAAAAAAACTAAATTTTTTTTTCTTGTTACACTTAGCAAAGCTTTGCTGACCTTATCTCAGCATTTCAACTGTGGCCATGTTCCATTGGAAAGTTCCTAGTAGTGCCTAATGATTACAAGCAAGAAGTGACCCCCAACCAGCCCATCTTCCCTGAAACCTAGGAGTTGAGGGCGTATGCTTCTATCTTAGAGACTTTGTATTCTTTGATGGCACCGTTATGGCCCACAGATTGCACAGAGACTACAGAGAGGGTTGAGTGTTAACCAAATGGTCTTCCTAAGCACTAAGACATGCTTGCATTTAGAAAATATTCTACGAGGGCTGGAGAGATGGCCGGTGGGGAAAGGGCTTGCTGCGAAACCTGACAACCCGAGTTCAATCCCTGGGACTCACGTGGTGGGAAAAGAGAACCAACTCCTGCATGTTGTCCTGTGGCCTCCACATATATGCCATGGCATTCGTGGGACACACGCGTTCATGTACACACACAGTAATAAATAATAGATACTTAAAATTTAAAGAAAATATTCAATGAAAAATGCTTTCTCAGTAAAAAAAAAATCCATTCTAATATTAGTGACCACTGTGCCCCACCCTGTTGGTTAAGTCAGCACCATAGGCTCTTGTACGCAGCAGCACCAGCTGCCTTTGCCTCCGGGCAACTGCTGGCCTTAGCCCATGACAAAGGAAGAGGCTCTTAGGAGTCCTGTCCCAGGTCTCATGGAATGAGCCTGTTCTCTTTTGTGCACTTCCTGACTCTACAGGACAGCTGGACACAGTGGACCTGAATAAGCTAAATGAGATCGAAGGCACCCTGAACAAAGCCAAAGATGAGATGAAGGCGAGCGATCTGGACAGGAAGGTGTCTGACCTGGAGAATGAAGCCCGGAAGCAGGAGGCAGCCATCATGGACTATAACCGAGACATAGAAGAAATCATAAAGGACATTCACAACCTGGAGGACATCAAGAAGACCCTACCGACCGGCTGCTTCAACACCCCGTCCATTGAGAAGCCCTAGTGATGGGAGGGCTGCACGGTGGGGCCCCTAACAGGGGCCTGGGAGGCCACAGTGCCTTGACACAAAGATTACACTTTTCAGACCCCCACTTCTCTGCTGCTCTCCATCACTGTCCTTTTGAACCAAGAAAAGTCAGAGTTTAAAGAGAAGCAAGTTAAACATCCTTAACCAGGAACAAAGAGTTTTGCTTAATAAAGTCTCTCTTCCACTCACGTCACCACCTTACCCGAACTGTCCCTCCAGTGGCACACCCACATCACGTGAACCTCTTTTTTCACCAGGGCAAGCCCATCCCGCTTCCCTCTTTCAACACCAGCAGGACCTATTTCAGGCCTCATATTTCTGTGAAGGAAACGGTTGGCTCCTCGCCATAGCGTTGAGGTGCCTCCGCATCTGCTGCCTCCTCTTTGAAGCACAAGGAAATAAGCACCCTGTGCCAAAGGTGGTGGTCACCTAGAATGTCGGTAGCCAGCCACCAGTCACACGTGCTAGTTGTTGGAGGACAGGACACTGAGCCATCGTGGGTAAGAGTGCAGTCGTGTGTGGGTCTCCAAGAGAATGCGGCTCAAAGACATGGAGGATTTGCTCCTCTAGTAATTCACTAGGAAGATACACTTTTTTTCAAATCCCTAGGCAGCTGATGAGAAGTTTGGATGGACAGCTTCCACTCCACTACACTAGGTAGCTTTTGAAACAGGGATATGATAACCACTAAAGTTTTTTTTCCAAGTCTAATTCTTGGAGCTCTGTTGGTGTGTTAGTCTGGGAACGAGTATTAAGATATTTAATATCAAACAGTTGCTCTCCTTGAAAGAAAGCAAATCTCCTTTTCCCCGTGTCTTCTGGAAAATGGATGAAATTGAGATGTAGCCTGTATCATTAAGATTCCATGTATTCATTTCTTTGCCTCTGTTGGAGAGAGATGTAACATTTGGCCCTTAGCTCCAATTCTTTTCTGATGTTTCCATTTTTCTAGAACTCTTCAAAATACATCATTTATTTGCCAGATCCTGTGGCAAATGCTGCCGCTCAGCATTGCACACAGCTGCCATCTCGTTCCTGCACGCTGTGGCTCCACCCACTCTGCGCCTTTCCTCTGTGCGAATGGGAAGAGCCTCGCGTGGCATTTCCTAGTGGGCTTCTCAACCTCTGATCCTCAGCTCTGTGGTCTCCTTAAGACCACACTGTGACAGTTCCCTGCCACACACTCCCTTCCTTCTACCTACCTGCCTCTGAGGTTCATATTTAGCCTTTAACACTATGCAATTTTGTACTTTGCGTAGCGGGGGAAAGAAACTATTATCTGACACACTGGTGCTATTAATTATTTGAAATTTATATTTTTTGTGTGAATGGTTTTTTGTTTATCATGATTATAGAGTAAGGAATTTATGTAAATATTTCCGGTCCTTCTAGAATGGCACTGTCTGTTCACGTCTTTGCTCGGTTTCCCCTCTCTAGCACAGGGAACCTGTACACCTCCTCCCTCCCCATCCCTTCTGAGTCAACCCGTTCCCAGTGTTTTGCTCTGACTCTGCCTTGTGTTTGCCGCCCCTTCAGTGTCTGACCGTACTATCAGCCTGCTCACCTCCACAGCCAGACCAAAGCGGGAACCGGGCCCTCTTCCCTTCCGCCCTGACCATCTACAGCGCCTGCCCCGAGCAGTCCCCAGGGAAAGCTTACTGGTGGGAGGGACTGTTCCCGCCCCTTTGTAGAAATGTGCTCTCTGGCCATCCTTTGAGCAGGATGGGTCGGTTTTATAAGGGAGTGGGGGGTGGCTGAGCACTTTAGGGCGTCAGGCACGGGGCTACTGCTGACATGGAGGAGGCTGTGTTCGGCGAAATCTCTGCTGGATGCACAGAGGCTGGGCACCTCTGAGGTTCCGCCCTTGCTCCTGGGGGGCCCTTTCTGCACGTCTCTGCCACACCCGGTTCGGTGCTGATCCGCTGGCCCCTCTGTTAAGGACTCCCTACCTTGTCATGCATTTTAGTCACAGTTGCAGGAAAATGGCCGAGACAGACTACCAGCGTCCTTGGGGTCAGCCCCCTCCAGCAGGCCCTGCGCTCTGCTGGGTGGGGCATTTCATTTTGGTTTATTTGTCTTCTCCATCCTTGTGGTATATTTTTAAACAGAAATTTATTTTTAAAAATGAAAGTTATATTCAAAGCTGATCCCTAACTACACTCCTGCGACACAGCCATTGTTTTTATTGTATAGTTGCAGTAATCTGTATTTTATGTAATGAAATCGACAGGATGGCTGCTGTAGAATGCCAGGTGTCACACGGAATAGATTGTTTTATTCCCCCCCCATGGAATTTTCCTTTGGATTCCAACCTCGGCCCTTTTAAATGTGCCTTCACTGCAGCTATTTGCCCTAATCTCTACAGTCTCCCCCCAGGGAGCTTAATAAAGCGCAACACTTGGCATTTTTTATTGTTTAAAAAGAAAACAGTATTTTATTTATAATAAAATCTGAATATTTGTAACCCTTTATATCTTGTGTGGCCTAACTGTGGTGCTAGGACATAAAATGTTTTAAAGGGTTTCATGAATGGACATCAGCTCATAGTGCCTTTGACTGGCTTGTTTCCTGAGAACCATCCAGTGCTGTTTGTTTGGTGCCTGTGCTGGGGGTTGACTTTAGGTCCTCCAGCATGCCGGGCAAAGGCTCTACTAACTACATCTATATGTCCTTTTTTTTTTTTTTTTAACCTTTGTTTTGAAACAGGATCTAGCTTGTAGCCCAGGTATGCCTTGAATTTGAGATCTTCGTGTCTTGACCTCCTGAGTAGCTGGGATTACAGAAGTGCTCCACTAGCCTCGGGTTTTGTTGTTGGCATTTTGGTTTTTTGTTTGTTTGTTTGTTTTCAGTCTTCAGATGGGATCTTCATTGTCATCCAGAAGTTAGCAGACTGTATATTTACAGGACTAGATTGTGAGTATCGCTCAGCTCTTGTAGCACAGAAGTGGTCCAGGACCAGAGAGAAGCAAATGAGGAGCCTCAGTGCATAAAACTGCTTAGAAGAATCTGCAGTCCTAACACTTGAGGCCGGCCCGGGCTACAGGGAGATCTTGGCTCATTCAGCACTTGTAGTACAGGCATGGGAATCTGGATAAATACCAGAACCTTTATAAAGTGGGGGTTGAGGGAATTCATCTGTGATCTCTGTGCCCCTGTGGTGAGAGGAGAGACAGGAGAATTCCCCGGAAGCTTGGAGCTGGCTAGCCGGTCAGATTAGTGGTGAATAACAAGGGAGCCTGTATCAAACAAGGTGGAAGGCAGGGACTGACTCGCAGGATTGGCTAATGATCTCCGCGTGTGCACACAGACCTCCGAGCTCACAGGCCGGAACACACGCCCATACGTACTGCACGCACACGCATGTACTGCATGCACGCCTGGTGTGGTCTCAATATCTCACCCATCACAGCGGAGCTGCTTTTAAGTGATTGGGCTCCCTGAGGGGCAGTGCCTGGGAAAAGCTGCCTTTGGGCCCGTACATGAGTTTAGCTGCCAACGAGGCATCCTCTTGGACTTCTAATAGACCAAAAGGGAAAAAGTAAGAGGTTGCAGGGCAGGCATGGTACACCGTGCTCGCGCTCCGTCTGGTGCAGAGCGTGGGACAACTGGAGACCAAGGGAGCCAGAACTAGAAATGGCAGGCAGGCTTGGTGCCTGTAAATGCCTCTCTAACTCCCTGGTTTCCTGCCTGCCTAAGTTTTTGTGAAACCCCTGCCTCCTCCCCTAAAATCATAGACTGTCATAACCTCGGTACCAATAAAGAGCTTCTAATTGGCCTCAGAAAGCTTTGGAGGCACTGGCTAACCTTTACCTGGATAGTCACCTACTGCCCTCACCCACTCCCCATTCACAGGGTCTGACTGAGAGGCAGATGTTAACCCTTTAGTTACCATGTAGGAGGGTTGGGTGACGTGCTTAAAAGTTGTTAGCATCATCTGATTCAAAGTTCCCCTAGGCTTACAGCTTAAATAAACACCCTAGCCGCCTGATAGCAGATCCACTTCTAGGCGGGCCAAAATGGGACACCTAGCAAGAGAATGGGGGTGTAGAAAGCAAGGGGCGCCTGCCAGAGGCACAGAGGGACCCAGCCTCCCAGCAAGAGCAGCTCTCCCAGATCCAAGGCTTATGAAGATAGGAACTGGGCAACTTTAAATGGTAATGGAGTTGTCTGTTCACCCTAAGCCAGTTTAAATGAAGTGAGTGTTAACAAGTGCGGGGTAGGGTTGGAGAAATGGCTCTGCAGTTAAGAGCTCCCCTGCCCAATCCTGAGGACCAGGCTGCAGGAGGAGCTGTGAACATCTTCATTGGGCAGCTTGCAGAGGCCCGGAACTCCAGCTCCGAAGGACCCGGCACCCTCTTCTGACTCAACAAGCAATTGCACTCACAGGCACGCTTGCTTGCGCACATGCACTCATGTATAAATACAGTTTTTAAAAATCTTGAAGGGTAGTAATAATAATAAACCTAACAAGCAGGGTGGTGGGGTTTCTGCTTAAAATGTCAGAGGCAGCCCTGGTTTAGGAGAGCTGTGCCCTGCCCCCTGGGACGGGTACACTTGCTCCACATTAGTGAGTGACATCACCAAAGCAGAGTTGAAATTCATTCTTCAAAAACGAAAGCTATATAGCAGAAGCCAGCGGACCCGTTGATTGGGAGTTCAAGCCTGAGAAACTCAGCACTTCTTTGCGTTGTTTTAACTCCTCTGTCAGAAGTTCATTCTTCCGTTTTCCCCAGGACTGTGCAGCCTGACGTCGAGGCGTCGCCTACGTGTTGGAACTGTCCAGTCCACCCTGAGTCTAACACGGCAGGCCTGCCTGGCTGTTAACATGGCCCTCACCATGTATGTGTCCATGATTCAAGCATTCCTTGATCATCCTTCCCCACAAGTCATTCCCACCTGCAGGGCACCCCCAGGCCCAGAGGCATAGATTAATCACTGAGATTGCCTGAGTGGTAAGCCTGATCTCTCTCCTCTCACATCAGTTAGCTTTTCTCCCTTTTCCTACCCACATTCTGTACTCTCAGCACTCCTACCTGAGCATAGGCTGGCTCTGGTTTGAAGGAAGGTAAACAAAACCACCGAATGGCGAAGCACACAATCTGGGATTCCCACAGAATCTGGGATTGGCTGTGAGAGCTGGTCAGCAAGGGTTGTTCTGGCTTCCAGCCTCACACCACACACTCCCATGTCTATCCCTTTGCATCTGTGGGTTATAGCCAGGAGCTCTCCTGCAGCCTGGTCCAATTCCCTAACTCGTGGGAATGATTCCCAGTAAATCTTTAACCAATTGGTTGTGCTCGCCCAAGCCTAAGAATGAATAGAGGCCATAAAGGTGTAACTCGGGGTAGTTTGTGTCTGTTAAAAGTTGAGCATCAGACCTTGATCGTGACTGTAACACTGCCAGGTGCACGCCTTCCATCCCAGAATTTGGCAGGCAGAGGCAGGCAGATCACTGGGAATTTTAGGTCAGCCTGGTCTATGTGGGGAGTTCTAGGCTGGCCAGCTGTCCACAGTGAGACCCGTGGTGAGATGTTCAGATGACGGTTACCCCGGCATCCTGAGTTCATCCCTGGGACCCACATGGTGTCAGGAGATACCAGACTCTCATAAGTTGTTTTTGACTTCCATACACATGCTGTGCCATGGCATGAACATCCCTCCCCCACCCCCGACACGCACACATTCACACACACACACATAAATGTAATTTTAATTTTTGAAAATGTAACCTAATAGATCACGGTTCCCATGAGGAAGTCCAAGTGGAGTTAAGTGATGCACCATGAAGAAGCCTGGTCCTACCTTCGCCGACCACCTTTCTGTCTTCCCACAGTGCAAGTAACAAAAACCAAATGTATTAAATTTCAGACAGTGCTGTTGGGGCCCAAGGCATGCTGTCTCCCACCGTACTGAGATGCTCAGTCATTTCAGTAACTCAGAGCAGCTATCCAATTTGTTTTGTTGATTTTGTTAGTGTCTAAACATTCTAGAGAAATCTGAGCCCTTGGATCTCTTCTGGAATGGCTGTCTGGTGTCCCTTAACCTCTTCTCTGCTGGTTGCCCCCAGATGCTTGGGTCATGGGTGCCTCTTTCCTCCTGACCTCTGCCTCTGTGTGAGGTTAGTGCGGAGTAAGCATAAGCTCAGCCTGAACAAGGACTGTCTGGGAGATGGGCTATCCAATGGTGGATTACAAGCTTCTGGCTGCTGAGCCAGCACTCAAGATAAAGCCTCAAGAGGCAAGCTGTGATTTCCATGATTACATGCTCAGCGTGGTGAGAGCGTGTGCTGAGACTTGATGCCCGCCTTGCTGCAGTGTATACAGTGCTGTCTCAGCGGGCTGAGCCGCACCATCAGGCCTGGCCCACCACGAGAGGAGTGCTGTCACTGGGTCAGCCAGGCCCTGTAAGGATCTGCAAAGCCCTGGGATGGCCGGTACTGCCAAGATAGCTTGATGCTTTAGCAAGCACCTTTGTGGGGCTGGAGAGCTGGTGGCTCAGTGGTTAAGAGCACGTGATGAGTTGCAGAGAACTGGAGTCCAGTTCCCAGCACCCATGTGGTAGCTCACAATCCTCTGTAATTCCTGTTCCAGGGGAACGACAACCTCTTCTGGCCTCTGCTGCCACCAGGTACACACTCGGTACACATATATACATTCGGGCAAAACAGTAATATGCATAAAATAAAAATAAATGAATAAGTAAATAAATAAATTATTTATTTATTTACTGTGCCTTCGTGGTCATTTTCTTGAGGCCTCATTTGAAAGAGAAAGCCTGAGGAAGGAGTTGAGAGTGTTCTTGCTGCCCAGCAGCCTTCGTGTTCTGCAGCTGTCTCCTGGTTTTGACCCATTCTCCCTTTCCAAGATTCTGTCACATAATCGCAAATAATCCTAAATTTCCCTGTGTTCCTTTTCTAAAGGTAGCAAGGCATGATCGATACCCAGAGCCCGATCATCCTCCAACACCAGGCTGCTTCTGCCCCTCTTCAGGGCTGTCTCTCTCTCTCTCCCCCCTTCCCTTTCCCTGTCTCAGGACAAGGTATAAGCCCAGTTCCACCCAGTTTAATTCTATCTAGAGGATTTCATCTGAAGTCCCCTCCAGAAGGTCTCGCACCATGCCCACTGATACTCCCTTTGCTTTTCAGCAACAATGATCAGTGTAAGTTCCATTCATTGCAACATTTCGTGAGGATGAGGGAGCTCTGTCCTTCACTCTCTTTCCTGCTCTCTAACCATTTTTATTTTGAGCTATTTAAGGTTTACAGGAAAGAGACGGCATTCCTAAACACTCTGCATCCAGCTTCCTTAGCATCTCAGAATTATTTTTAAAAAGAAGGAAATCCCTGGGCATGCGGCAAACACACAGTCCTACATAGTCATGTGATCATGGTTGTAACTCCAGCACACAAAAGTTTGTGGCCAGCCTGGGCTACAGAGCAAGTTCTAGACTAGCCTAGGCTATAGAGCAAGAC